CTCGGAGAGGCGGGTGTCGGGCAGGGCCGCGCTGGGCAGCCGGCTGTAGAGGGGGCCGAGCCCAGCGGGGCAGAGGGCAGCCAGCTCGCTCTCCAGCAGCCCCTCGCCGAAGCGCTGGTCGAAGAGGCGGTTGGCGAGGAAGGGGCTGGGGCCCAGGGGCCGGCGCAGCCAGGGGTGCTGGATGGTGACGTCCATGGCAGCCGGGTCGGGGTGTCCGTCTGTGCCCGCCCTGCACCGGGGCTTTATATCCCACGGGCGTGGAAGGCGCTAGAAGCCTGGGCAAGGAGGATGGCTGGGCTCTGGGCCAAGGGGAGGGCCGGGCTGCCTGCCAGGCCTGCAGGGCCAGGCAGGCCCAGCACAGACAGAGGGACAGAGAAGGGTGGATGGGGCGGGCCAAGTCTGGAGCAAGTTAGCAGCCTGGGTCCGGGAGGGGAGGGGGAGCAGTATCTTGGGATGGGGTCCCTCCTGCTCTGGGGACCTGGGTGGCTATGAGTACAGACAAGCAGCAAGCTCAGCCCCTCCAGTGGGGGATGGACAGACACCCCAGGCTCAGCCCCCCTCTCCCTGTGCGATGGACGGACAGACACCCCTCCACATGACTGCCCCTCTGGGAGACCGGCTGCCAGACACAACTCAGCCTGGGCCCCCCACCCCAGTGGGACCTAGCTCCCCTCCCTCTCCTCCAAGCCCTGGCAGGCCAGCTGCATGGGGTAGGGGGTGGGACTGTGGGGTGGGGTGGGTACCTGGCGACCTGCCCGGGCACATGGGCCCATTTCCTTCCCAGCCTCCCTGCTCCCTTTCATGTAGCTGTGCCCCAGAGCCAGGCCGGGCTGTGTCAGGGCAGGGAGCTGCCCACCGGGCACAGAGGCGCGTGGGTGATTTGGAGACAGACCCAGCCTCGCGGGAGGGGCTTGGGAACAGAACAAAGGAGTCTTGCTTCGGAGATTGCGCTATTGGCGTCCTGGAGGGCTGGACGCTCCCAGAGGGAAGCTAGCAGCACTGGGGCACTGCCACGGGGAAGTTCACAGCACCATGGCCCTGTCTGGCTGGGTACTATGGTGGGGAAGCTCGCAGCTAGAGGGTATCAGCTGGGCACTGCGGTGGGGAAGCTCGCAGCAGCAGTGCCCTGGCTAGCTTGACTACTCAAAAGCGGGTGTAGTGCCTAAAGTGGGGGAGAGCCGGGAGGCAGGATGCCTCTGCTCCCTCCGGCTCTGAGGGGGCAGTGTGGGCAGGCGGATAAAGTGGGGGGTCCCTTTAAGACCCCCAGGCCCAGGTACCACCCAGCAGGATTCTGTGCCCAACGCATGAGGCCAAATGTGCTCATGTTACTATCTCAGAGATGAGCCCATGGGTCAGGCATCTGCCAAGGGACTGTGGCTAAAGTGCGCGCCTGCTGCGCACTGCGAGAGAGATGGGGGTGGGCTGGCTGGGGAGGGGAAATGGAGCAGAGGCAGGGTCCCCCGCAGGGGGGGGGGGG